CTATGGCCTTTTATTGGATTTATTACTGACTGGATTTTGATTTATTAACATTTTTAATAATTTGGTAAGCTTTGAAGGATTTTTTATAAATCAGACATTATAAAAGTGCTTTTCCATACTGTCCATTTCCTACATGTCATAATGTTTTGTAGAACTTAAGCCACTGTTTACTAACTACTAAATTAACTTTCCTTATGCAGTCTGTATTGTTCATGGATTGTAGTAGATGCAGATGGCTCAGTGGCTAGACTCCTTTGTGTCCTGATGCAAGCTGGCCAAAGGCACTTTTTATTATAAGGTATTTCAGTATTATTTGAACAACGGCAAATGGACAAATGGACATTATCTCACACCGAGCACCTTAACAATTTGTTCTCTGATTTAAAGTTATACCTCAAACTTTTTTCTGTTCTAAAATGTGGAATTTTGTTTGGTGTTAATGGCCAGGGGAAGCAACAAAAAGTATAGCTGGTAGCTTTTCTTTTTTGGCATTGATTGATGGACAGAAGTCAGTTGTATGCTGGAAAACATTGCTTGTCCTATACTAATAATCTGATTTACCAATGAAGGTTGGGTAGAGGTTCTTTAATTGGCAAAAGATTTCAACAGATGTTAATGTTAGATGACTTAAATGTTTATTTTGATTGGTTGGACTTTGCCCATTGGCCTTGGCTTTATTAAATAGAAAAATGCTTGGCAATCGTATTATGTTCTGATTTCTTCTCCCCTCCGCTATTTCTGAGATGTGCAACAGATTGGAAAAATCTATAGAAAAAATGAAGATAGGAGTTCAAAGGTCCCCGTAATTATAGACATGTGGGTGGCTTCAAATGATAACATTTACATAACTGACCTATATAGGTTGCTAGAAAACTGTATATTGTAATCATCTCTGATTAGAAGTATGCAAGCTCTGAGACAGGACCTAAGACTCCGTATATGTTTGGTTTTATTGGGATCCTAATAAAATGGCAAATTGACATCTGAAGAAGAATTCAGTTTGGATCACAGGTTACTGAAATCCTCCAACTCAGGAACTTTCTACAATGGAGATAGGAACCAGCACTTTTTGAACTCTGTTGGACACCACTGCAGAACCATAACTGGTGACAATGACAGCCTTTCACAATAAGCTGGATTCAATAATGTCTCACAGGTTGATAACGTGGTCTGACAGAGGACCTGAATGGTGGAAACTGTGCCCAAAAAAGCGAGCAGAGAATAAAACTTACCAATTATGTTTCCTTGCAGCTGATCTTTTGCCCATTACTGACTTATCATGCTTTTTACCACACTCTCTTTGTAGAGGCAGCCATCTTGGTAGGGAAGAAGTTGCCTTAGATTATTCCCCACTACAGATGTACAGATTTGTATATGTATAAGGCCTAGGCACAGGAAGTGCACTTTTTATAGTAGAAATTCAAGACAATATGTAGATTTTACAGTGTACTGCATAGGCACTATGACCATTGCTATATGTTTCCTTTAACATAGCAAATCTTCACTTTTTCAGTTCAGGTCCATAGAGAATGCTGACACCTTGCAACCTTCTGGCACATGGCAGAGAAATGTTACAATTTTTGGTGAAATGCATTGGATCCAGTGAAGAAGGTGAAATTAAGGTGGTTTTTTAAATAGAGCAATAGGCTTTAGATGGTTCCTGTGGGTTTTAGAGGTTCCTTTCAACTATCCTGCACCTATTCTTGTGCCAAAAAATGTCCCCTAGTCTAATATTTTTCCTTTTTTTTTTTACCAAAATAAAAAAAAAGAGACAGCGAGAAAAAGGACAATTATAAGTTGAAAGCAAAATTACACAAATAAAATAATCAAATACATGAAAAATTATGAACACTAAATGCCTTAAATTACACTTCCATAAATATTAGGGATGCAACGATACCAATACTGGTGTTGGTATCGGTGCTGATGCAGAGTATTTGGGCGAGTACTCGTACTCACCTAAATGCTCTGATACTTACCTCCGATACCGGAACTTAAGGTCAGAGGGAGATCTCCCTTTGACCGACAGTGCCGAGATAGTGCTGAGGGAGCATAACCAATCTGGAACCTGGGCGGCACCTAATGGCACGTCTGTCTGGGTAAAAAATTGCAGTGAGGCTCCCTCCAGCCAGTCTCCTCCTCTGCTCCAGTGGGTACCCCTTAAAATCTAAATCAAGGACAGGAAGCAGAAGAGCTGTCTGCACGGTCTCCTCCTGTACATCTGATGTCAGCTCTTCTTGATTGGAAATGTCATAGGGGGTACAGAGTCAATAGCAACTTCTGCAATCTTTAATGTGGTCCCGTTCCACCCCCAGGCCCTATAACAGCCTTGTGGGCTGCTATGGCTTTTGTTACGTCACTGGTCCCTGAGCGTCCATACATCAAATACAGTGTATTGGACGTAATGATTCACAGGACCTCTGGAGCGGAGGCTTCAGGTACCGGCTCTCCTGTCTGGATGACCACACACAAAGTGAGGAAAATTCTTCCACACACTGTCTAGAATTAAAAAAAGTTTGGCTGGATTTGCACATATAGGAACTTTCTCTGGTCAAAAAAAATGTCTATAATTGAAACATAATCACAAACCTTATTAAAGTGAAAATTTGCCAAGTGCTAGATTTCCTACATGACAATATCATCCTATTGTTTCTCTGTTAAAAAAAGGTACTTTTTTTATTGCTTCTAATTGCCATGTGTGTGTGCAATGTTGTCGTTGACGTAAATGTTGTAGATCTTCCTCAATGTACTACAATTGAATTGGTCTGAGCTAGGGAATACAACTCTCCCACTATGCAATGTTTTCTTTGCTCAGTTGATAAGCAATTTTGCCAATCACCATGGCATGGGTACCCCAGGTAGAGGTGGAGGCACATGGTCTAAAAGGGTGCCTGGTTTTGTGGAGCTGTCTTCTCATTGCACTTATAGCAGTTAACTTTGGTTGTACTTACTGATTTTAGGTGCTCCAAATTTTACATGAAAATGAAAGCTGTCATTAGATAGAATTTACCTTTGAATATATATTATTTAGAATTCACCATTTGCGGTTGTAGTTCCAGTTCCTCCAAGGCACACTCTTTTCAGTGATGTTGGGATGAGCTCAGTATAGATTGTTTAGTTTCACTCTGAGAATGCTGCTGTCCCCTACCCCCCTCCTCCTCTTCTGGTTAATAAAAAGCAGGATTTATCATGTCCATGACTCCTGATTGGCTCCTGTGAAGTATACAGACCTAGAAAAAAGACAAATCAATACTACTTTGTGAGTTCTGCATGTGGAGTAGAACATCTCAGCTCCTTGCACAGATATCACCAGCCTTCCTACCACCCAGACCCTGCAACTTCTCTGGAGGGGTAAAAGATGCTTCCTAGGCTTATCACTGTGGCGGTCCTGGTAGCACTGTTCCCTCTTCAGGTTAGTAATCTCTGATCTGTATAATTTTGCTTCACAAAATCTAAATGATTCTTGCAATCATGGAACTCTGGTAGCCAACAATGATCTACATTTTCACAATTCTGATGCCACCATTTTGGTGTGAAACTACGTGGCAATAAATACAGTAGATAATTTCCACCTGTCAGATCCTTCATTGTGTAGGTTAGAAGATTTTGCTGGTTTCTATAAATCTTTTCTTACAGAGCTCATATAAGTTGCCACTTTAGAGAGTCAGGCTGACATGTACAGTAAAGTACTTCAGTGGTGGGCCAAAAGTCCTCATCTGAGAATCGTCAAATGCTTGGAGACTCAGATGAGATGTCTTCATGTATAGGTACTTCCATTCCCAGTCTTCAGAATAATACACTTATTTTAAGAGTCTGGAAAATATATTCAATTTCTTTAGTTAAATATGTAATCCAGGAAAGAATAAGTCCAAAACCATCTTAGCATATTTACTGCTGCACATGCAACCACCGCAGGTTTGGGAGTTTTTATCTTGGCTGAATTTTATGGAATACTTTCTCAAGAAGGCTAAAGATTTTTATAATTGCAGCATTAAGTGTATGATTAGGACCTATTGGATTACATGTATCTACATTTTCCTGTTTACTAAAGTTCATGGCACCCACGTCAGACCATGAGAGTGAGATGGATTGGTGAGAGCATTAAATTATTACTCCATCTAGCTTTTGTTGACTAGTTAGTAGCATATACTGTCCTAAGCCCAACTTGATGTACTTTTTTTGTAACCCAACATAGTCTGCAAAATATCAGTTTGTGGCAGAGCGGTGCGTACAGTCTATATTCCATACAGTGTCTGTTCAAAGAGCAATTAGGTAATGGCCAATGAATCTACCATTCTGGAAACATAATGGGAAGATGAAATGAGAATCCAGCAAACATGTTGAGAACATATACATGTAGATTTATAGCTTAAAGACAAAACTTTTTTAGATTCGGATAGAATGGTGAGGGGTTACAATCACAGGCAGGTTTTTTGCCATTTTTGTCTCCTTTTAAGGAGATTCACTCTCTAATTGTCCTGATCACTAATGTCACCAGGAATGAAAGTGATGGGAGTCCAAATTTTGAACAACCACCAACAGGAATAGAAGGGAAATTTTCTAACAGGGGACACTGGTTCCCATGACAACTTTTTAAGATGGGATTTCCTTCACATTGCAAAGATATCTTCTCACTTGATGAAGAGCCTACAGGAAGGAAAGGAAAAACGCCCTTATGGGACATAAATGGCAAAAAAAAAACCCAACAGTGGTTTTAATCCTTCCCTATACTATTCAAAATGAAAACAAGTTTTACCTTTAGATATACTTGACATTTCTTTTTTTATCAATTATCTTTATTTTCTTTCAATTTTCATAGTCATATGTTTATTTTCACTGTTGCAGACAGTCTTCTCTCTCGTAATTTCAATCTGTAATCACGTTGATTCTTCAACTTCCGTCTGTTCTTTGCTACCGTTCACTCTAACGCTGTTCACATGTTACAGTGCTTGCAAAGTTTACTAAGCCAGCTCATATTTGTGTATATTTTGGTTCTCCAGGTTGTAGGGTACACCACAATAAAGCAGGAGGGGTTTTGTAGCCTGTACAACGAATGCGGCAGAAATCCTGAAATTACCAGCAGCCTGATCCCACCTATCATTCCTTGTTTATCCAACACTCCAGCCAGGAAGCTCGATGGAACTCATCTACGATATCTCCAGGATGTCTGTCCGATGCTTTACAATGGAGATGACAATACTTATGCATGCTGCTCTATCACCCAGCTGGAGAGTATCCAGAGGAGCTTTGCATTATCTCAGGTCATTCTAAATCGATGTCCATCTTGTGCCCAAAACTTTGCCAATATCCATTGTCAGAACACTTGTGGCCCAAATCAAAGTTTATTCATCAATGTCACACGTACAGTTGATGCCATTGTAGATGGGAAGCCTGAGAAAGGTGTGTTGGCCTACGAATGCTACTACAGGCGAGAATTTGCAGAAAAATCATATGACTCCTGTAGGAATGTACGATTGCCCTCCACAGGGGGTTTTGCCATTTCTACCATGTGTGGGAAATATGGAGCAGAATTTTGCTCAGCTCAGCGGTGGTTTGACTTCCAAGGGGATGTCAGTAATGGACTGGCACCTTTAGCAATTCATTTCAGGTTTTCGGAAAATGACACTGTGGTTGGTGGTGGCGTGGAACCCCATAATAGCAAAGTATGGAGCTGCAATGAAGGCCCAGGTAATGATCCAGATAATGCTTGCACTTGCCAGGACTGCAAAGAGTCATGTCCTAGCATCGCTGGACCTAAACCTCTGCCTGACCCATTTAAGATAGGATCAGTTGATGGGTACTTAGTAATAAGCAGTGCCCTTTGTGGAATCTTAATCTTTTTTTTCATCATGTTCCTGATTATGACATGTGCTGTTAATAGCTGTGGAAAAAAGAAAAGGAAAGAAATACCACATATCAAATATTCTGATCTAAACTGCTCAGAAAAGATAAGCTTAAAGACTAACCGCTCCATGGAGAAAGCCTTCCAGTGGTGGGGCACCCGCATAGCTTCTTACCCTAAGACTGTCATCTGTGTCTCATTAGTTCTGGTTGTGGTACTCTCAGCAGGTATGGCCCTAATCAAGCTGACTACAAATCCAGTGGAACTGTGGTCTGCTCCAAACAGCAGGGCAAGACAAGAGAAAGACTTTCATGATGCACATTTTGGACCATTCTTTAGAACTAACCAGCTAATTATCACAGTCAACGATCGGTCTTCATACATCTATGACTCTCTCTTTTTTGGCCCCCTGAACTTCAGCAGAATCCTTTCTCCAGATATTATTCTTGAGATGATGGACCTTCAGACCAAGCTGCAGAACATTGCGGTAAGTAAGTCAGTGCAAAATGTCGGGATTGATAATCCCTCTAAGCCTACTATAACATATAGTTATAACATATAGTTAATGCAGCTTTTGTGCTTCACATGGATTTGTTTAGTAATAAATAACCTTTTACATTTTTGGATTCTCTCTTATGGGGACCAAATTCTTGAAGTATTACAGAAAATATTTTGATTGTTTTATCTTTTAACACTTTTGTTTATTGAACTTACACTACATTCAACTTTATAATTGGAACATTACTGAGGTGCCTTCAGCATCTTCAAAGGTGACTATAAACCAGCGAATGGCAGAATCTCTCACGAATAGATCAGCATTGATAACCTAGCAATATTTGTAACAAATTCTTTCTTCGTTCTTAGTACATACAGTCTTTCTGCAGGCACTTAAGAGCAACACACGAGTGTGGCAGATTAGGCGTTTTGTGGGACACTTCCTTGAGTTCAACCTAGCAAAAATACTAAGAAAAAGAAAACTAAGCACAACCGTGATAATTCAAGGTTTGGGGTAATTTGTTTAGTAATGCAGCTAGGCTTTTTGCACCTTGACGACAGAATTTTCATATCCCCTTTCTGCTCCATTCAAATTTTTAACAACTCCACTTTTGGGGCATACAGTTTACCACACATGGTTCGTTAAGATGAAGCATAAGGGGTTTGGGAGAGTTATAGCAGATCTGAAAATGTCACCGTCCTGAAAGGCTAGGAGGGTTGTCTGTTAACATATATAGTAAAGTAAATTCCTTATTTATGTTCTTTAGTGACCTTAGAAAAATTGAAATTGCAAAAGAAAAAACTAAAAGCATTTTTTAAACTGACAATAGAGAACTGTAAAGTCACCGGACACTATATGGTGCTATGACAAAACACTACTGGTGTCCTTCTGCATTTCATACCATGTTATCTGTTAAAACCAATGATGGTCCAGCAGCCATCAATCACTAGTGGGCTAGGATGTTGGCAATGTAGGAAAAAAAACTGCAGGTGATCTGATGATAAGAATTATGTAAATCTTGGGAACAAAGTTCAAACAAAAAGAGATTGGCCTCCCCATGAAATAACTGGGACAAAGACGAAATAAGAAAATTATGTGAGGCAGGACTCAGAACTAGGGGATGTATGTTAGCAGTTCAGCTCTATTTACTCATCTCATAGTCACTGCACTAGAATTTAGACAATAGTGAGATTCATTCATGTTTACTATAATGAAATGACTATGACTAGTGATAGCGCTACTATCTGTGTACACGCATTGCTCAATAGTTTCGCTCAGTAGCTAACTGTATTGTTTGGTTGCAGTGAATAAACAGTAGCTCCTTGCTGTGCAATAACAGTGAATAAATATACATTGGACTGGCTCCCCAGTAATGCAGATCAATAAGCAGAAGTGACTAAATGTAGTTGAAAACATATCACAGTGTGAGTCACCTGTGCAAAGTGCACATTAGTAGCTTAAAAGCTCCATATAATGCTATACATTTAATTGAGGGACTCACTTGATATAAATTAAGTCAGTCCTTAAAATAATAGGCTGCATGCACCATGCAAGAATTCCATTTAGTTCAGTATATACACTATTTGATTACATGGCTATCGACTGTATTAATAATAATAATCAGGCAGACATGAAAAAAATAGATGTTTGTCTGCATTAAAATAGATGTAATTTAATGTTTACATGCAACTACCTTAATTGCCCAATTAATCTCAATATCAGTCCCTGTAGCCCCTGGGCAGCAGCATAAGCAGCATGCTGATAGAATGAGAGAAAAAAGTGAGCAGACAGATGGCCTCTTCACTGTACAGCTGCTCCTTCATTGTCAAATTAGTAAACTGAGATCTGAAGATCCTTGACCAGTCTGTGCTACTGCTGAAGTTGAGGTCAAGGCAGCATCTGGCTGTGTTATAAGGGAAGGGATGTCTGGATTGAGCTACAGGTTACACAGGATTACAAATCTTGTGCCTGGTGAAAAAGTTCCCATATGCATTCTGAAGACATATTTAGCTGTTTGTCTGAAATTCAGTTTTAAGGAAGAAGATTATAATCTCATTGGCAACTGGAGGGGGTTAATCAAAATGGCAGCACCCAGATTTCATCTAGAATTATGCTTATTGTAATAGTTTAAGACAGAGCTGTTCATACACAGTCCACAAGCTAATCAGGGGCAAAATTAAGCTCTTGTGTTTTGTGTTGAGGGTCAAACTTTGGGATGATTAGGAGTGTGTTGCACCTGCTTGAGTGAGTCATAATGCTGGGTCTATGATGACCTGTTCTATATGAAGGGTCTATAAAGCCCCGTTCTACATGTAGGGTTTATGATGACTTGTTCTACATTTAGGGTCTATAAAGACCTGTTCCACATGTAGAGTCTCTTGATGACCAGTTCTATATGTAGGGTCTATGATGACCTATTCTACATGTAGGGTCTCTGATGACCAGTTCTACATGTAGGGTCTATGATGACCTGTTCTACATATAGGATCTCTGATGACCAGTTTTTCCTGACCAGATGCCATTTATAGATTAGACAAATCCTCTTCTACCCAACTGAACAGTAAGAAAGCTCCATTGCATTGCTATATCATATAGCTATAGTAAATTGATCAATATAAGTACTTGCAATCTTTCTTAGCCTAGGCTCCATCTTTAAAATGGTAGTAAACTGGAATTTGTATTTTACTTATGTCATATACTGTATGTGTAGCATGTGTGTCCTTTTTATGTCTAATAAAATGGACCACCCCACCTAATATTTCGTGCCGGCCACAGAATATTATTCACTGTAGTTATGCGTAAATATGTGAATACGATTTCTATGCAAACATTTTTTAAACCAAAACTGTCAATAAGAGGTATTTTGGGTACTCAGTAAGTGTCTTACTGGCCAAGTGTAATCATTCTTCCACTATGGTAGATAATGGTTTCCTGTCTTTTTTCCCTTGCAGGTGTGGTCAGAAAAGCATCAGAAGACTGTGACACTGAAAGATATTTGCTATGCACCCTTAAACCCCTCCAACCCTTCAGACACAGACTGCGCTGTGAACAGTCTGGTGCAATACTTTCAGAACAACAAGACTCGGTTTAACATGGAAGTGACACAGACAATATCTGGAGAAACGAAAAAAGTGGGGTGGAGGGACCACTTCATGTACTGCGTCAAGTGAGTTGGGGTACACATAATGAATGCCACATAAAAATAGCCAGATCAAAACTATGTACAAAATGCTCCATAATCTTGATTGGATGTATTGATGCCTTAAAGGCTTTCTAAAGCCTCCGTTTCTTTTTGCATATATGTACTGCTAACAAGCATCATTTGAACATGGACACTCACTTTTAAAAAAAAGCAGATAGGTGTTAGTAGTAGAGTGTTAAAAACCTCCGTATAAATGTAGACTCCCTAAAGGGATATTTGGGAGGGGTAAATGTATTGTGTTCCATATCTCCTAACAGGCCAGAAATATTGAATGAGGGTGTCAGGGTTAGAGATCAGTACAAAGCCCAGTCTGATTTCAGCTTTCCTTTTCCCTTGAATTTTCTTTCCAGCTCCCCGCTGTCTTTTAGGGATGTTACAGATTTAGAGCTGAGCTGTATTGCGGATTATGGTGCTCCTGTCTTCCCATTCCTGGCTGTGGGTGGCTATGATGGTAACAACCTCTCTTTATGTACCAGCATTTCACAATACACTTATATATTAACATTATGAAGACCTGTCAATATTTAGGCAGTCTGTCACTATTGCACAATGCAGGAAATTTACAGGATCATTCACTAAAGGGTGAAGAGTTTGGAGAAGACAGGAGTAGTGAACAATGTAGGACAACAAAGCTGAACTGGAAAAGATATCCTATTCATCTCACTTTCCAGTTCAGCTATGTTGTCCTAGATTGTTCACTTCTCCTGCCTTATCCAAACTCTTCACCCTTTAGTGAGTAACAATCTAATAGTTTGGACACTATATAAATACAAAGAGATTTATAATAAGATATCTATAAGATATTTATCTATACAATATTTAGAAACACATTGTAGTAAATTTTTATAAAATTTGGCATTATGGACAACGGTCAGAACTTCTATAGTGTTGGATGTGTCCTTTGCTGCCTTTCTAAGACTTGCCCTCACTCCTGGTCGCAGAGATGGCCTCTGACACCTTTATACAAAGGGTGTCACCAGGATAGTATATGAAGGAAAATCTCCTTAGTAGTGCAGCAGAAAGCAAAAAAAAGCCTGACATAGGCACACTAAAAAGATAAAAAAGATTATGAAAATTATACCCCACTCTCTATACACAGTATGTACATAATTCTCAGTTCAGTTCACAGTTCTGGAGAGGACATCAGGAAAACGCCTATTAGGTCAGTACAGTAGTCACTGGTTTCTATTGTGTAAGGCCTAATGTACAATTTACACCTACAGATGGTTTCATATTCTTCAGTCTGATGTTTTTCTGCAAATAGAATTCCAGTTTTCCTGAAAAGTTGTTACTTCTTTAATTTGAAGACCAGGGTCCATCATAGGATGTCCCTTTTTTAAACCATAATTTCTAATTTCCTAACAATATTTCCCTGTCTCTGTGTGTCCTGCAGACAGTAAATACTCTGAGTCAGAAGCTCTGATTCTGACCATCTCACTGAACAATTTCGACCGATCCGACCCCCGGTTTGACTATGCGATGCTTTGGGAGGAGGAGTTCCTGAAAGTCTTGAAAGAGTATCAGAATGACCCCAACACTAAGTTTACCTTTGCCTATATGGCAGAGGTGAGTGGTGCCATAAAGTGACCTTCTTTATGTCCTATTTGTATATTTTGTGTGCATCTTCTCCAGATCCCAACCACCTTTGTCATTTGCTTTCCTATTTCTCTATTTGGTCTGAATCTTATTGTGTTTGCTCACATTTTTCTGTGTCTTTTCAATTTCTACCTGCCCTGTTCTATGGAAATGCAATATTCTGAGCCCCCTGTTTTATCTTTCAACAGCGATCTCTGGAGGATGAGATCAGTCGAACCACCACTGAAGATATTCCCATATTTGCCATCAGCTATCTGGTGATCTTCATATATATATCACTGGCCTTGGGGGAGTACAGTAGCTGCCGGAGAGTGCTGGTGAGGAAAGAGTCTAATGGAAATAATATCATTGTATTTACTACAGCTGAATATTTTTGGTTTGCTTTAAACTATTGGCCTGTGGCAAGCACTCTTCATCTACTGAAACATAAGTCACTGCAAACTCGGTGTTTCAAATATTCTACTGGCAACAACTATATTGCATGTACAGGACAACAGTCACACTACCTGCAAATCCAACATCCTTCAATCACAGCACTTGTGATAATTTCATTCCTTGCAACAAATACCCCACATTCTCTACTGCCATGCTCCCGGCAAGTGCCACAATGACACCTTGTGTGCTTCCAAATCATATACTGTATATTATAAATGCACTCAATGCAACTACCACAATCCATGGAGATCAACTAGACTTTCACACAAGTGTTCCACCCTGAGGACTTCAAATGTAGTAAATTATCAGCTTTTATTTTTTTTGCAAAAAATGCAGTACAAAAAAGTAAAGTTTCTGTCTACATCTTGCTATGTTTGAAACCAGTGGAGGTTCCTTGTCAAGCTAGGAGTTCCCTAAACTTGAGTGCATACCCAGCTTGAGAAAGAATCTTCACTTGTTCAAAACATAGCAAGATGTAGACGGGGATTTAATATTTTTGCACTGCCTTTTTTGCTCAAAAATACAAGAGCTGATATTTTACAATATTTGTCCTTAGAGCTGAACACATGTGATAAAGTGATTTGTGCAATTTAGTTGCGTTAGAACTGGAATAGGATTTATCCTTATTATCATTATTTATTGGATTTACAAACACTGAAAATATATTCAATTATCACAGAGTTTATGATACACACGTAGGAAAAGTAGTGGGAATACACAATACCAAGCGCAACATACCAGCCTTATACAAACATGTGATAAAGTGCTGTGGAGATTTGCCCTTTGGACGCCAAGGAGATGTAGAGCTGGTACAAGTTGTTTTTAGTGGTGTGTGCATCACTTTTTGTGAATGCAAATCAACTACACACAGAAGCTAACTCATATATAAAAATATAGAATTATATCCTGTACCAAAAAAAGAGCAGTTTGATAACACCAACCAGCCTCCTATAACTAATAGAAAAGGCTGCGTCAACCATTTTGCTTAAATTCACTTGTTCAAAACATAGCAAGATGTAGACGGGGATTTTACATTTTTGCACTGCCTTTTTTGCTCAAAAATACAAGAAAAAAAGAGCAGTTTGATAACACCAACCAGCCTCCTATAACTAATAGAAAAGGCTGCGTCAACCATTTTGCTTAAACCATTTAGATTATGAATGTTTCTTAGTTCTAAATGTTTTTTTCCTCTTCCAATAGGTGGACTCTAAGGTGACCCTGGGCCTTGGTGGAATTCTGGTTGTCCTCGGAGCCGTATTGGCATCAATGGGTTTTTATTGCTACCTCGGTGTACCATCCACGCTCATCATTGTTGAGGTTGTGCCCTTCCTGGTTCTGGCAATTGGAGCAGACAATATCTTCATTTTTGTTCTGGAGCTACAGGTACAAAAATGCTTCTAAACCAACTATGGTGAAAATGGCAACTAGAATATGACTGGTTACTTCCACGTTTTTATCATCCTAGTTCTAGTAACACTATTAGTATTTAGTTACATCCAGCTAGACCTGTTCTGCGGTATTCAAGACAATTCGTCAAGTGGCTTCCTTGGTATAGCTGAGTGTCAGGAACATACCTCATGATTTATATCTATATGGGGATGGGAAGTAATGTAAAATGTCTCTAAGTCCCCTTCCACACTGAGTGGTTTATCACGCGAATTTCCGCTCCAAAATCATGCATATTTCCACGCGATATCGCGCTATGTAGTTCGACCAATGCATTTCAATGGAGCTGTTCACATCTTACAGCTCAATGTTGCCTGTAGCTTGTCGCTGTAGCTTGTCGCTTGTACATGACCCTTTTTTGCACGGATGTCGCGCGATTTTTCTCCTGATTGCATACAGCCCAATACGAAAAGTCGTGCGATATTAGCTCGCCAAGTCGTGCGATATCGCTCATATAAAATTGCGCGGAAAAACGCTCAGTGTTAATGGGGCCTAAAAGTTATTCAGACACTGGGAGGGTCCTTGGTTATGTGGCCCCTAGCATGTTACTCTGCAGCCTCTCGGAGTCCCTGTGTTTTTTCCTAGGTAATACATTTAACTACCACAGGAGACAATGTTAAAACTGGAATGAATGAAGAAACCAGCAGGACTTGTTACTTTGTTTTGCCTCAAGAAGGAACCATTGTGCGTTCCGAAAATTTGCCATACATTGTGGGACCTGAATGGATGTCAATAAAGAAGGTCTGACATTCTTGGAACCCAGGAGTGCTGGTGATTTCTTCATTCATTACTTATTTGTTTGTGGCACCATCCGCAGTCGCTACAGCACCCACTTCCAGCTTCTGGATTGCTTACCGATTTGGAGTGCGATGGGTTATGGACTGAAATGTTAAAACTGGATTACATTTTACATAGAAAGTGCAGTACTACTATATGGTAGGTCATTTAACACAAAGCACAGAGCACTAAAGTCCCTACCAAAAGAGCGTTAGGAATTGTGTTAGGAATAAGTGGAAGAAATCTAACAGATTCCTCCATCCATCTGTAAGTAAACCATCTATAAGAAATATCTGACAGGTCTAGTCACTAAAGGGTGAAGAGTTTGGAGAAGGCAGGAAAAGTGGACAAACTAGGCCAAAATAGCTGATTTGGAAAAATTCTCCAATTCAGCTCACTTTCCAGTTCAGCTATGTTGTCCTAGATTGTTCACTTCTCCAGCCTTCTCCAAACTCTTCACCCTTTAGTGAATAGACCTGTAAGTGTATGGCCTGCTTCAGTTTTTAATGGCAGGAGACAGAAGCAGTAGACATTAGCACAAGGCTTTTGCCACATAAAAACAAATATATATTGCAATGTATGCGCTCCCTAACTCTTAAAATTAGCTCTTAACATTTAACCTACTTAAAGTTAACCCTTTACCTATGCCTTAGAATGATCTCCCTATCCTCTAACTTTCTTTTACTCATGGCACCCTTAAAAGTATGCAAAATCATGAGGCACCCCAGTCTAAAAGGTCATAGATTTTAAGGGAAACCCCAGATTAAAACACCCAAAAAAGCGTGTTTCCCCCTACACATCAAAGTGCCACCTTCAAGATCAAGATTCCCCACTCACATCATAGTAACCCTTTGCATCAGTAGCCCCCTTTTCACATCAGAAATCCCACTTTCATATCCGAGTCCC